AAGCTTGTTTCACTGCGATTTGGACGCTCTGCTGTGTATTTGGCCTTGTGTCACTAGTGGGAAGTAGGCTTAAAGTCCATCATGTTAGGTGAAAGCTCTTTCTTTCAGGTGATGCTGATTTGGGAACTTTGTAAGAAATTAAAACTCATTTATAATTTGTGTGGCAGCATCCTAAGTTAGTTTTGGCAATGCAGATTTTAATTAGGTGGGAGAGGACTGTGATTCTCTTTTCTCCATTATTGCTACTTGATGTGTCTCAGGAAAATAATGTTTGCTTCTTGTCACATACGTTAGTACAAGAGGTTTCAGCTGTTACAAGCCTTTAAGTTACTGATTTGGTGGAGGAGAGGCATTGTTTGTTGGGTTTGGGTTTTTGGTTTTTTCCCTTCCTCGGTATTGGGAGTGAATCCCTTGCAGTAAACTTAAAATTACTGAGAACAGGCTACATTTTCATCACTGTGTTTTGTGAGTTCTTTTAGAAGTAGTTTGTGCCCTTTCCAGTTTATGGCACTGAGGTTCAAAAAGTGGTTATTATTTAGGTAACTCTCACAACTGGTTTGTTCATCGTGCTAAGACTTGCCTTGGTCTGATGTTATTTTTCACGTCTTTAAAATAGCGTAACTAGCAAAGGAAAATGTCAGTGATGTCTGACGGGACAATATTGAGCTTCTGTTGAAAAGTTCTTCTTATACTCTTCTCAGTAAAGTTTCACAAGCAGTATACAAAGTTACATTACTTCTATGCAAAAAAGAGTAACATCAAATAGCCTACGTGCATGTAATTTAATAGATGTGTGTATATAAGATTTATTTAGTTATCTTTTAGAATATGATAACTTAAAACAAAAAGCGAAAGCCAGTTTGTTTGCCTCTCAAAAGCAGATGAAACCATTAAACTGCAGTGCTTAACAAACAATTTGTGAAGACAATAAACCACCTTTAAATGCTTGTAGCCTCCCTTTAGTAAGTGAGAAGACTTTTCATCAAGTACCTTTTTCATGTTTACTGTATACTGGTTAGTGAAAACTTGGAAAAAGTGCAGGAAACCAAACAGGGAGCAAAAAAGGAAATCTGTTTCTCAGAAAGTGATGGTGTCCTGCTGTTTCAGGTCACCATCTAGAAGGAGGCCTTAGAACAAACCTCTTCTGTTCACTAGCTTTGAATAGTGTGTATTAAAATACATCATTTAGTTTTCAATACTAAAAGAATTTGAATACATATGGTCTTCTCTTTTAGCAGGTATATCTTAAGGTTAGTTTTATAAACATTTTAAGATGCTAATTTTGTTCCTTCCTTATCCAATTCCTGTTTCTGTCCAAAAACTAGCACAACAATGAAGATGAGTTGAAATAAATAGAAAATTTGAAATAGTTTTGGCCAGTTTTCACATAATATTTGAAAAAGGGCTTTTGTGTGTACATATACAGATGCATAAAGAAAGTGATGTAATTGCTTAAGTATTTGTGTAGTACGTATTTCTGATAGGTAAAGGAAGTTTTTACACTAAATTTGGTAATAAATCTGTGTACTTGAAAGCCAGCATGTTTTATAGTTGCCAGCGCATGAAAATCAATATTTCTTCAGGAAAACAGTGAAAGTAGAAATGCAATACAGAATTAAAAGCTTTCAAATACAGTTCACAAACTAAAATTAGTAGTTTCAAATGGCAGTCATTCTAAATCAGTGTGCTCTGGATGATACAAATTGAATTAACCAAATGTTGAAGTTCTTCAAGGTTTTACACAGTTGTTGCTGTCTTGTCATACTGTTGTGCATCGAAATAGAAATCAACTCCATGTCTTGACCTCTTGCTTTGCACTTCCCCACCTGATTTCTCTTCCCAAAATAGCAATAATAAGGTGAAATAATCTCTTTGGGGAAAGCTGAAGACTCTAGGCCATATTATATTGCAGAGTGGTGGAGAAGCTAACAGCTAAAACCCAACTGTTTTTTTTTCTCTGGCCCTGAAGCCAGCTGGCACCGAATGAAAGTTTTTGACCTTCCAAACCAGAACGGTCCCAGGTCTGTGCTGACACCTGAAACGGGCTTGGGAGCAGCCCGGAGGAGTGCTGGGTGACCTGGGTCGGTGCTGCTCTCTAATGGGGAGATGGTGGAGTCCTTCAGCACCGCTTCCCTTAGGAGGGTGGACTTGGCCTCAGAGGCCTAGGGCATGATAACCTGCTGAGGGGGAAGCCAGGAGGGGAACAAATGCTGCTGCCTGAAGTCACTGTCTGTCTTCTGTGTCTCTTGGTCACCTTTTCAGATGCCAGTTGATACAGCTGCAGAACAGTTTATCTCCCCCACAAAAAAAAGTTGAATTAATTCCTTTAAACGCCTTGTAAAATAGTAAGATAGTTGCTGTCTCGGGGGCAGGTTATACAGAGGAGATCTGGAGGAATTTGTTACCTTAGACCTTCTTACGCTCCAAACTAGTGCTTCAGTTTCTCCATAGAGAGAGAATAAAGAAAAAAAGGCTGGAATACTAAACATCCTTTTCAGTGCAGAATCCAGTGAGAAACAGATAAGTGTTTTAACAAGTACAAAAGTTTATTACAAGCTAGTTGTGTTAGCTGGAGCATGTAAAAAAAAATCCTGAATGTCCAAGATTTTAGGACAGAGATACAGCCAGTCCGATAAAAATGAATCTCACCTGATCCAATCAAGTAAAAACTGTGTAGGAGGTTCCAATTCAGTTGAATTTGTAGAGGTGCTCTTAATATTGCTACACTTCTATAAGAGAAGTTGGCAATTTCTTTAACTGTTTGAAAAATTGATTTTTTTGGTACTCAATTATATGCAAACCTGCCTCTTACATTATTGGTGGAACAATTTAATCTTCTAAATCTTTTGCTGAGTTTATTTTAGTGAAATTTCACAAACTTTTTCCAAGGTATTATGTATTTAGGTGAAAAAGTGATACCAGAATTACTGAAATACATTCTTATTATCGCTAGTGTGATTTAACAGCTGGAAACAAAGGGAGCGGTACCGTGAGGCTGTGCAGTGCTTTGAAGGCTAGTGGTTATCTTGAACCACAATTGTTAAAACTTTGTTTTAAAGATGTAAACAAGTTTATTTTGACAATTGCAAGAATTTGGATTCTGGATGGAGAGATGAATTGAAGGGAGGAAGAAGCAGTTACTTACTTTTTTCTTACTTTAGGATGAAAATTGTATGAGAAATTACTTTTTTATACTTTGTGTATGAAATATGTATATGTGAGTACTCGGAGAGCTAGGAGTCGCAGGGCCAGCTTAAATGTCGGATTAAATGCGCATTAGCCACTTTTTTACTCTCAACTGGTGTAAGAAAGTTGAATTCCTAGGTATAGACCAAAATGTTTTAAAAAAATGAAAACAAACAAACAAACAAAACCCCCAAAAACCCCAAACCAAAAGGACACTGTCTTCACCTACTAAAAGTTCGAATATCATAAAGATATTGTGGAAAAGGAAAAAAACCAAATACTTAATTTGGCAAGAAAAGATTGTGAAAGTATAAAAGTAGGTTTTGCCCAGTACTGCCTCCCTGTTCCCAAAGTTGATCTGGTCTTGTTTGAAGCCCCCCAAAATGCTTTTGTAACTGAATTTTTCTGAGCCATACATGTGTAGTTTTTGTACTGGCTTGAATGTAAGCAGTCTCAAAACAAAGGTGATCTACAGTTTTTCAGATTAAAAATAAAATTTGACAGAAGTATGTAAAATATGAGCTTGCATTCATCTCTGCATGACCCGACACCCCACAATGTTATGTACAACTTTTTTTGTCGTGCATTTTTGTAGTGTGATGCTCTTCCTTGCAGTCATGCAATTATTTATGTGAATGTGTAAGCACTAAGCACAAGATCCCTTTGCAAGTAGGATCCACTCTAATTGCTCTTCTTGTGTCTGCCGAAAGCCAGCTCTGTCTGTGGGGCTGCATGCGTCCTGCTCAGTAAGAAAGGCTGGGGTTATGTTCCTGGCTGGCCACCCGAGTGGCACCGGCTGCTTTGAGCTAGTTTCCTCTGAAGCGGACAGGCTGTATTCATCTATTCTGTATTGCACTTGGCTGCGAGTGTCGACTAGGTCTTGTGTGCTGCTCCTGTGACCTCAGGGAATGAATTTTTCTCTGTTTCTTTTAAGTTTGGATTGTTTGAAACAGCCTACATGGGTGATGCTTTTGTAGCATGAAATCAAGGATTGTGTGTTGAATGGCGTGAGGATATATTCATTGCGAGGGGAAAGCCTGTTGAGAGGTTGTTAACAGACTGGGAAGGGCAGAGGAAGTCGTGCTTGGTGCAGTCTTACCCCTACTGGCATTGGGAATGGTTCCTGGAGTGAAGTGTTCCCAAAACTGTGCCCAGGCTTTGTCTTCAGAAAAGCTGTTTGGAGCAGCGTAGGTGGCCGCTCTCTGGTCCTCCTTGCGTAGGAGGTTGGGAGTACACAGGAGGTACAAATGACCGGAAGGAACTGGTGTGCCATTATAGACATACCTACCTGCCAGACTGCTGTGCCTCATCGAATTCTTGCAAAGCTGGTCCTAGAGCTTCGCGTAAAGCAGGTTGTGGAGCTCCCATGCCATCAGGTCCTAGGGCTGCTTCTGCTTGCTCAGTGAGGATATACAACACGGCACCAAAAAATGTTTCTCGTGATTTTAAGGGACAATGTGGTAAATGTGCGGTTATGCAGTGATATTTTTTTTTCTTTCTCAGATTTGAAGGCGTATATTATTGAGAGATTATAATGAGCCTATAAAATGCATGTGGACACCGTCTTGTACCTGTGCAGTTCTCCAGTGCAATTGTTAACAATGTGTTTTAGCATTGGGTGACTTTCCTTTGTCTCACTTAAGAGCCTTGCATGACACTTGTATAGAAAAATACACATCTTTTCCCTAAGAAACAGGCAAGGATATAATTTAAGTAATGTATTTTATATTTTGACTTACTTTAAATTGCATTTATTGTCAGATGAGTTCTTGTCTTACAAACTTGTCATATCTCTCCTTGAACATCATTTTGTAGTTAATTTCTTTGCGAAAATACAGAGAAAGCATACTAGGCTTCTGAAATCTTACAGTAATATTTTCAGATATTACTCTAAAGGATGAACCATTTCTTCCAGCTTAAAATATTAAGCCAGCATTGCTTCAGCTTGCTTTGCAAGGCTTAACTATATCTGCAGTTATGTAAGTTTCAGTTATGTGGTATTTCATGGGCATCTATTTAAACATACAACTATTATTTTTAGTTGAAATATAGACTATATAAAGACTTTAAAGATGTGGGATCAAGGTGGACAACCTTGGCAGCAATGGCCTTTGAACCAACAGCAGTGGATGCAGTCATTTCAGCACCAGCAAGATCCAAGTAAGTATATAGAAAGCTTTGTGGATTAATTTATTTTTAATCTTTTGTCATTTGAATTTTTGAATCTTTGTTACAGAGCATGTCTAATAGTTGCTTTTTTGTAGCTGCTCTCAAGATAATACATTTATGATGCTTTTCTGAACAACTAGAAAAAATAGAAAACATACATAAATTCCAAATGTTTTGACATAGTTAATATTTAATATGCAAAATACAGGCAAGCAACCTGAGTTATCAACATTTTGCCAGTCATACAGATCAATATTTAGACCTCATGTACTTTTACAGAATCTGTACCCAGATTAGCCAAGCTGAACCATTTATTTGAGAAAATCTGCTTTTTATTCCGTGCCTGTGTGGCAGAAGTACTAATGCAGATATTTAGACAGACAAACTCTCACTGGAAGATTAGTATGATACTTGTTTTAGGTTACAGTAGTGATGATCATGATCTCTTGTTTGGATTTTTTTCCCCACCAAATTAAAAAACATTTTAAACAATAGAGCATAATATACTTAAATTGAGAGTGTGTTGACAACAATTCAAAGTATCAAGAGAAATACAGAAATGGGTAAAGGGAATGGAGGCATGTGTTTAATACTTGGGCAGAGTGATCAGGCACACTGGTTTTACATTGCTTTCTGTCACTTCAATTTCTGTAACTTCACTAGAGAGATTTCCTGACTTAATAATGAGCAGAAGACATACTAGTGTCCTCATCTGAGAGTGCAGTTTATTTACTTACTGGTAGGAATGGTAGTGAAGAAAAAAATGGGGGGGAGAACTGTAACATAGAATAGCATTCCAGGAATCAGGGGTTATACAAAGAGTATACATTGTAAAATGTAGTTTTCTAACTATGTATCTTTCTTACATTTGAATCTTCATGAATTTAGAATTTAAGGCTATATATATTTATTCCTGATATCAGAATTAGTTCACTTATGAAAAAAGTGTATTACTACCAACCATTAGCATCGTTCAGTGCTAATGCAAACCTAAAATAATCTGCCTTATGGCATTTTGAACATGTGCAGAGAAACTCTGCTTCAGCAAGTATGTACACTTTGACATTTGCTTTCAGTTTGTTTAGTGTACACTGTGAATAAGTTTTGATGGTGCTCATGGTACTTGCTGAAGGTAAATGTTGCCCATTTCTCTTGAGCAATGAGACTTGTAATTGAGAAACAGCGTTAAACTTCAGACATGTGAGTACTAACCTTTTAAATTTCCTGTTTATTTTAGGCCAGATTGACTGGGCTGCATTAGCTCAAGCATGGATTGCTCAGCGAGAAGCCTCAGGGCAACAGAGTGTAGTGGAACAACAAGGAATGATGCCAAACGGACAGGATATTTCAGGAATAGAGTCTGGTCCAAACAACCATAATAATTTTCAGGGGGATCCCAATTTCAACAGAATGTGGCAGCCAGGTTTGTTTCCTTCCCAATCATTCCTTTTTTTCATATAACGAAATTTTATTTTTGTCAGACATTTTTTGGTGTGAATATGCCCTGTCCCTCAAGTTTCAAGATGCAAAACTACCAGCAGCATCAACTAACTAACTATCACAGCTGCTACTTTTCAGTCAGGTGTTCCACAAAATGGGTAACAGTACAGACACAAAGCTCTGATAACACAACTCAGTAATCTCTATATAAAATAAATAAATTGGTTTTATAATATATGCAAAAGATTTGTTCTGTCCCTGAATGTTGTAGAAAGATAAAGTGTGAATTGCAGTTATAGATTTATTTCCCTGGATCTTACTCTTACATCTTGGGTGTTTTGTTGCTTATCCCACTGCACTAGGAACAGTAGCACTGAAGGAAATAGGATGCCTCAGAATTAAAGAGCATCTGTTGCCCTCTCCTGTAGTGTAATATGTGCTTCTGGCATGATCTTGATATGTAGAATGAGTTCACAATATAACTGGCAGATGCTGGCTTTAGGTGTCTTAAAATCTTGAAAAAGGAGATGATTCTGTGTGTAAAATAACGTTTTTATTACATGTTTCATTTACGTAGTATTTGCCCTTTTTGACTTACGTATCTGATTGTCATCTGCATAATTTTTCAGTTATTGTAATTTAAGGTTGGTTGAACACTTCTGTTAGTGTCGATTATTTTCAGTTCTTTATAACTTCCTCAAAACTTCAGTTTTGGTCAAAAATTCATTTTCTTTTTAAAATTTCATAAAATAACACTGGCAATAAGCATGGGGTAAAGATTGGATATTTTCTGCTAAGAATTTTTCTGAAGTTGTTTTCTGAAAGGTTTGCTGTGTCACCACGCTATAATGCAGTTTGAAATGTGTGAGTAAGGTATTTAGTAAGCCTGCGTGCATGCCTTCTGTTGTCTTGGTGAAAACTGCACTTCATGCTTGATTCTGTTAATAATTGAAAGAATAATACCTCCAATTTTCACTGTGACTATTCAAATTTGTTTAAGTGCAGTGTTTAATAAAAGTAGGCTTAAAATGTCATTGGCGGTTCTTACGTGTGCATAACAAAAGGGAGGTAGTCATCAGGTTTTACTTAAGTTTCACTTACCTGCCCTGGGCTATAAGTTATTGTAGCCACATGTAAGAATTTTAACTTTACTGTGTGGCAGTACATAGAATGTATTCTAGCTGTATTTCTGTATAGTAAGTAGAGGTTTTCACAGAAATACTGTGTCATTATTGGACAACTTTGTTTTTCATACGATCCTGTGGTGGTGAGTTCTTCCTCCTATGCTTTTTCGTCTGTGAGGTGAAAGAGAATAATATCTTAAGTGGTAGTTTTTGCAAATAGTCACAGAATGATAAAAGTAAGGAAGACATTTCGCTGATAATTATAAATGTTTGGCGCTTAAGCTCACCCAGAAAATGCAGAACAGGAAAACATCTTAGGTCTAGGAGTGAGAATAATGTAACACCTTTTGTTAACGGGAAACAATGTGCCAATGCATTTTGTTATCATTGGGTATATCATTCAAAGAGTATGTTTTCCCAGTTTTTTGGGATACTGATAAAGACCGTGCTGATGCAGATACGACCCAGCTTCCATTAATTTAGGCAATGTCATTCTTAATGTGTAAAACTAGTCATAGCAGACAAACTAAATCATAGCAGGCATGGCTAGCCAAAGTTCCCTTCACATATTTACTCTGTTTCTACAAAGCTTCATCTTTCTCCATATCCTTCCAAGTTTCTTTTTGGATCCAAAAGTTCTTTACACGCTACTAATAAAAAAGCAAAAAATGGCAGTCTGAAAACCAACTGTGTAACCAGCTAGCAGACAATTCATTTTGAAGGGATTCATGTTCCACAAGTGAAAACAGCATCTGTTGTATGCAACCTGCAAGCTTTCAAGTCAGCTGACTTGAAGTAAAATGGGCATTTAAATAGTGTCAAATGTTAACACATGCATTTATGAACAATAACTCTTGTAGGCTGTACTTAAAGGATAAAGGATTCTGTCCCTTAGAATACTTTAGGAGAATTGACTCTGGAAAAAGATTTGATTAATCAGCTAAACATGACCTACCAGGATGACAGTGAGAGTGAAAGGAGTGATACAATCTTTGAACATACAAAAAAAAAAAACCAAACAAGTAGAAAAACTATGGTAACCCTTTTTAGTTGCTACAGTAATGGATCCAGTTATGATGCAGATGGGAAGGACAGTAAAAATTAGAAAAATTGAAAGAATTATTAACGACTGGATGGAAGGTAGGAGTTAACCTGAGAGGCTAGGTATTAATTCTGTTACTGGTGAAAGTTACAAGGTAGTGGTTCTGTCACAGTCTTTAAATATCTGTATAGTGGACATAATTTTTAGACCGATTTCTTAAGAAGACAAAGCTTATGGCCACATGAGCTATTAATTCATTCCTTAAACCCTTTTCAGTGTTAGCCAATTGTAACTTATGTTTGAGGGCTTATGACTGTCGCTTATGCTGAGACCTCTGCTAGATATTGGAGAATCCAGGGAATCATCCATTATCAAGACACAAGACTGGAAAGCAGGTTTCAATGGTTCTGCTCCTCACAAAACTATTTGCTTTCCATAATAGGTCTTTTAAGTCTATTATGCAAAGGAATAAAGTAGCTCATTACTTTGAAAGCTGGAACAACATAGAAATAGAGAAGTAGAGCAGTTCTTTAACAGTTTAGACAATTTGTAAGTGCTACGGTGGACTCAGTATCACTGGAAATTTATAAAACCAAATTTACAGCGTCTCTGTGTCCGTCCAGTTCTGCCCCCGCCATGTTTTAGTTCAGCTACAGCTATTTATATTTCCTTCATTTAGCTGATGAAATTATTGAGACAGTATAATACAGTCTGTAGATTGATGATTCTTCATAAATTTATCATCTGTGTTGCTTTGAGGAACCTTGTGATAAATACAAGAACATTGAGTGATTGGTGACTCATATAAATCGTACTAACTTGGTACTGAATTGTATTCTAAATCCTAAACAGAATGGGGAATGCCTCACCAACCCCCTCACCCACCTCCAGATCAGCAGTGGATGGCTCCAACCCCAGGTCAAATGGAAATTGTTCCTCCATCTGAAGACAGCAACAGTCAGGACAGTGGGGAATTTGCTCCTGACAACAGGCATATATTTAACCAGAACAATCACAACTTTGGGGGACCTCCCGATAACTTTGCAATGGGGCCAGTGAACCAGTTTGACTATCAGGTGAAACATATTTGTTGCTTTAATATTGTAGACGCGCAGAGTCCCTTCCGTGGATGTGTTCCTCTAATATCATCTAGCGGCGACTTTCATTCTTCAGTTCTACAAACATCTACAGAATCTGTTATCTGCTAAGATACATTTTTACCAAATACTTTACAGAAGAGACTTTAGAGTTTTCAGTTCTGTTCTGAGGCCAAATTTTTTTTTTCTATACTAGTAATGAGAAATGGCTGTTGTCTGCAATATTAAAATGAATCACTGTGTTCCAGTATATAAATTAACATTATGTAGTTTTGTGGGTTTAAAAAAAAAAAAAAAAGAAGAGGAGGCAAAAAAAAAGTTCAGAAATACATACTTAAATAAACTAGATAAGATAGGGAACAGTCCTGTATTTGCAGGGAGATAGACTGGATGATCCGTTGATCTTTCCCATATCTATCTACTGTGATTCTTGAATAAACAATGGTATTTCTAAAAAATCCACCTCCAATTTTTTCTTCATTCTGGCATATAAGTTGCATAGCATAATAAATCTGTAGGTGGTTTTAGCACTAATAATAGCAGAGGGCATTGCACAAATCTTTAAACATAAAGAAGTTTTGGATCTTTCCCCTGTTTTCAGTATTTTTCTTTCGAAACTCTTGATATAAATGGCAAACTGTACCTGTTAGAAAACCTACCTCCTGTTCATAAACAAACCCAAGGGAAGACGGGCAGAAATGTGGTTCTATCTTCTGGCCTCTTTTCTCTATTATTAAATTCTCTTGTTCAGCAATATTGTTAGGAAGTGAACCAATATTTTCAAATACACTAGTTTATTATAATTTCCTTTGTTTACTATTGTGGGACCAACTCTTAAAGTTAGTTTCTATAAGTACTACAGAAAATTTGTTTTGCAATGAATAACAGAGCGGTGCTTGGCCTGAAATTGTAGTGGAAGAGTGCTTCTACCACCAGTGACTTAAACAGATAGTCAATAGAATATAATAAAAAAATACTTGATGCTATAACTTTCTTCCTAAATACTCTCCTCTTAAATAGTTTCATTAGGCATTTCTGGGCAGCAAATATTAAAGCAAAAAACCCCTCATGTATGCCGCAAGACTTGTGACTTTTGGATTGTATACAGCTTGCTCAGAACCCAGGGTCTGTACTAAAATTGCATATTATGCATTTAATATTTTAATCAGCCATGCTAATAACATCCATGAATCATTACTGGAAAGTGCACAGTGCAAAATTCTTTTGTAATAAAAGCTTGAACTTTTCATTTTTGTCCTCATGTTGTAGTTAGAAGAAAAGACTGCTGACATAGCTAGGCTTTTAAACCTTAATTTTGTATACTCTTCAGTTAACTGCATGCTCTGATGATAAGCTGGCAAGGAACTGCTGGAGATAGATGGTGATTATAGGGTTTAATGTTTAGCACAATATGAAAGGAGATTGGTTGAAGCCCTTTCAGCTTCGTTAAATTAACTTTAATTAATTAAGGTTAAATCTAAGCTTACTCATTAAATTTTTAAGGAAAACTTGTTTCTTGGGGACCACAGAAAAAGAGATTGAGAGATCTCAGTAGCCTAGAAATCATGGATTCCTACTTGCATGGATTTCTGTAGACCGACTTGCGCACATGCTGTATTTAGTGTTACATGTGAAGAAAAATAAACTGCATTACTCTTTCAGCATGGGGCTGCTTTTGGTCCACCTCAAGGTGGATTTCATCCACCTTATTGGCAGCCAGGACCACCAGGGCCGCCAGGTCCACCCGCACCTCCTGCACCTCCTCAAAATCGAAGGGAAAGACCCTCATTCAGAGACCGACAGCGTTCACCTATTGCGATGCCTGTGAAGCAGGAGCCTCCGCAGATTGGTACATGTTAACCACTCCTTAATGAAAAAGCCGTAAAAGCTGTGTTTTGAAAAGAATTGCAAAATTTGAAGACTTTTTTTTTTTTAATAAAGTAAAAAAGAAGGGAAAGAAAAAGCTATTGTAAATGTTTTTTTCCCCACAGCCAGATGTGTGGCTTGTTTGGATCTGGGTGGAGGGTTTGCTTCTTTGTTCTTGGGGTTTTTTTTTCTTTTTAGGGGGGAAGGTGTTTTTCATCTTACAGAACTGTAAACCTTGCTTGTGTAGATGCTGTGAAGCGTAGAACTCTGCCTGCCTGGATTCGTGAAGGCCTGGAAAAGATGGAACGAGAAAAACAAAAAAAATTGGAAAAAGAGAGGATGGAGCAGCAACGTTCACAGATGTCTAAAAAAGAAAAAAAGGAAAGTGAGGAGGCTGAAGAAGGGGATGGCCCACGGTTACCTCAGAAAAGTAAATTTGTAAGTAGAAGGGTTTGCTTTTTGCTCAGGTTTGTATTTCCTGAAAGGTATCAACTTTTTAGTCTCTTCAAAAGAGAGAATGTGTATTCCTGGTTATCTCTTTGTTTCTGTCGCTTAAAGTAAAGTTAAGCTGCTGCTTTGTTGATATTTACTTGGTGTTTTGAAGTTGTTAATGTCTGAGAGGTAAAAGTGTATTATTTGATCTATAGTAGCAAAGAAACAACGTTGAAATTGGGCTTTTTTCTTTTCTGTATTTTGGGAACATACATGGTCCTTGAAGGTTTGAATTCTAAATCAGTAGCTGAACAAATTCAGATACCTGTATTTGCTAAACTGAGGCCACTTAGGAAGCCTTGTGTTGCCTTCACTTTGGCAGTTATCTCATTTGTTTGCAGTTCTGAATACCTGTCTGGCAGTGAACTGACAACTATGTATTTACTTATCTCGTCTGGGTAGAGAGGTACCTGCGTGTTTATTAGGAGGGGAGAAAAGAAACAGAGTTTTATGATGACTGTAATACAGATTTCAGTACAAAGTAAATCAAGTTGACTATCATAAATAGAAACTAATGAGATTTACATCTAAGTTTTTCCTGAAATGTATGACGCTGTTGTTGTAGGACAGTGATGAGGAAGATGAAGATGCTGAAAACACAGAAGCTGTAAGCATTGGGAAAATCAGCAGGAGTCCATCCCCGGCTCCTCAAGAGGAGCAAAGTGAACCAGAAATGACAGAAGAAGAAAAGGAGTATCAAATGGTATTAATAATGTAGTTCTCACTAAGTGTTTCTATTTGCTCATATTTTTCAGACATAGCAAAGTAAAACACTTTTTCTCTGCCTGATACTGTCAATAGAGGTATAGTACATATCATACAGTAAAGCAGTGTTATATCTGCATGTCTCTTTATAATGCTGTCTTTCTCATATAGACAAGGATATAGGTTATATAACTCGTATTTAGGACAATAGTGAAAGAATGTAATGACTGTAATCTTTACATTGATCATTATTAATTCTATGGTTTGGCCTAACTTGTCAAATTCCTGAAAACTTTTAATGATTAAATGGACCCGTCTGAAATCTATGCTTCAACCTCAGTTCCTGTGAAAGGGAATTTAAGAAATGTATTCTTGCAAGGAAGTACTAGAAACCTAAGTCCTAGACCAGCAACAATTTCACTGTGTCTGCGGAAACTTCGTATTGGAAATCATAGTTGTATGCTAATTGTACAACTGAAACCTTGTTAATGAAGGGCCTGTATTCTAAAAAGTTTGATGAATGTATTTTTGTAAAGCACATGGCCAGACTGAGCAGCTTGGAGAACTAGCTACCAACATTTCAATTTTTGTAGTAAATACATAATAATAAAATCCTATATAAGTAACCTCTGATGATTTTTGCAGCATTGGGGTCAGTGAGTCAGCATACCAGACAGAAATGTGCTCTTTATTTTTACATGTTCATTTGTTGTATCATCTTTGATATTAGGAATCAGTGAATCAGTGCCCTGGATAGCTGTGTGTAATACATGTGGATACAGTTTGCAGTCAAATTATAGACGGTTCTGAAAGTTTTGAAATCAGGTCAAATTTAAAAATTTCAGACTTACGTTTTTAAGTCATGTCTGTTGAAAGAAGTCATTAAATAAAATGCGCAGGAGAGTACTTTCATAGCCATCAAAAGAAGTGAAGCTCAATGGATATAATTTGAATGCAGCATTTATTCAAGAGGTTTTAACCTTTAATTGTATATACCATTTTCTTCAGATGATGCTGACAAAAATGCTGCTGACAGAGATTCTCTTAGATGTCACAAATGAAGAAATTTATTACGTGGCCAAAGATGTTCACCGTAAAGCAACTAAAGGTATGCCTGTTTTTTTTGTTTTGCCTTTTTTTTTTTTTGTTTTGTTTCTTCTGTGAATATTCTATATCTGCATGTCTCTAGAACATTTAACCTCCATAGTTATCCCCCAAGAACAATTCCAGTATAATGCATCCAACTTGGTAGAGTTCAAATCCAGTATTCATGTACTGTTGTCCTGTGCAGTGTATTGTGAGTTACTTCAGTTATTCCATTTCTTTCATACAATTCATTTATTTAGTTAAAACGGTACCTGTGTGTCAGTGGCTCTTGAGTTGTAGCTGTTTCTTAATGCTATCATCTTTATCTCAAGTTCTTAGCTGTTCAGAAGTGAAGAGAGATGAACTTTGAGTCCTCAATTAGTAATTCATTTGCTTTCACTATTAACATGTATTGTACTTGCATAACAGATTTTTGTTTAATATAACTGAGTTAATCTAAATACGTAACTACTGAAACTTGAAAATTATGTGCAGATGCTGTAACTTGGAAAGTGATTTATGAGTATATATTTGTTTTTTTCTGTTCACTGTTAATTTGCAGTTAAATTCTAAATCTTCGTGGTCAGAAAATCTAGAATTGGTTTTAAATGGATGATGCGTTTTTAATGTTTCTTCTCTCCCTCCAAAGAACAGCAATAGTAGTAGATTTAACAATACCATAGACTCATGACTATGAAATCGTGGCTATTTGTGTTAACATGTTGTTCCTGTTGTTGATGTGATACAAAGCTCCTGCAAAACAGCTGGCACAGTCCAGTGCACTGGCTTCCCTCACTGGACTCGGTAAGTATGTTCCTTATTTTTGAGAGGGCTTTAAAGGGGGAGTTTCACTCTTGCCTTGCGTTTCTAGAAATTGCATTTTGAAACTAGATTTTAATTGCCCAGGAGTATGGGTCACTTTCCGATAACGTTATCATTATCAGCACTTTTGTTTGTTCCACAGGTGATCCTACTGATATAAGTGGGATGGTTTTTGGAGTAAAGGACTAGTCAGTGTGAGTTAGTGTATGAGAATCTTGCCCTAATTTTGAAAATACATAAAAACTTTAGATTAATTTATTTTTTAAAGTATGATTGTTTCAGAAGCACACTGCAGTCTTCAGAGAATACTGGTTTTTATTTTTCTCCTGTTTTGATCCATCCAAACAAGAAGGGAAAGTTGATAGAAGAGTAATGTGAAAGTCTATAAATAAAAATATTATAATCTTTGGAATTATTATTTTATTGAAAAGCTACATGAGCACAGAGGCTCCCATATCATAAATTACCAGAAACAACACAGGAAAAAGAGATTGAAATTCCAGCTTGAGACACAACAGCAAAAGATCTTTCCCAACATGCTTTTTATCATCTAAAACATACTGCAGCAGTGTCAGTTATCAGTTATGTATTCATTATGTGGAATTCCGATGAATTAGATTGAATGTTATCATCACAAGTATTCACATGTTTTAAAGCTAACTCAATAAAGATCATAAGAACCTCAGACTGAAAGAAAGTAAAATATTTCCATGTCAGATGTTTAAATTGACTTTATCTTTCTTATCAGTCCAGTAGTTACTAATATCTCTAGGGGAGAAGAAAGTCCATTTCTGTTCCATCTCCGTACCTGTCAAAGTGCAGTGTTTTCTAAATCAATATAGAAAAATTGATATGGCATTCAGAATTTCTGTAGCCTTGGACTACGGAGGCGGCTGAAGTCATTTCAGAGATGTCTTCTGGGAAAGGTCCCAGGCATTTTCTGTCCGGTTGCTGATACAGAGGCAGGCACTGTTACGATCTCCGCAGGGAGCTTTTTTGCCCTTCCATACAATGGAAAAAGTACCGTGATCACAGTGATTGCTTGCCGAAAATAGACGAGCTGTTCCAGAAGGAGTAGAACCAGACAGTGAGCATCAATGCAGATATGGGGGCCTTGATCACACCAGTCAAACAACATTGGCACTTACCAGAATAAAGTGACTTCTTCAGAGAAGAGGAAGTGAAGGAAGGGCAATGTTACTCTCCTCTTTGCCCCACAGAAATATTAAGAACAAAGCTTAATCTTTCCTCGTGATAGACTGGACTTTATGCACGCAGGTGGACTGGGTGGTTATGGATCAGGAGACAGTGAAGATGAGAGGAGTGACAGAGGCTCTGAATCATCTGATACTGATGATGAGGAATTACGACACAGAATCAGGCAAAAACAGGAAGCATTTTGGAGGAAAGAGAGAGAACAGCAACTACTACTAGAAAAACAGCTAGAAGGTAAATCATATGATGTCTTCTTACTGTGCTGCTGTATATGGAGTTTACTACTTAGTATATGTAAATTGGTGGGAGAGAAAACGCATTTTAAGCCAAAAAATATGAAGCCAAATTTAGAAATAATGTTCTTTAATGAAAAGGTTTTAACAAAAAAGATGTTTGAGCTACTTGATCAAAATGGGGTTTGCTTCTTTTCTTTCTAATAAGAAAAAAATCCATGTAGTGTTTTCTATAACCTATTCTACTTCAGCGTTAAAAGAGCATACATGGTGCATATATACTTATATGCTATAGATATTGTACT